GGAGCAGCGGTAAGTGTGCTTTTCTGGCCTTCTACCTCCCTGTACCTAGCAGGGGTCAGCCTCTGCACGGGGCTGTTTAACTGATATCCTTAATGGAAACCCCATGAGATGCTTTGTGTGTCTTCACAGTCTCGGGTGGGGACTGAGACAATTGGACACACAGAGCATAGAAAAACCGTCTGGCAGGAGAGTGTGGAATGGCCGGGGCTGTGGTGGTTGAGGGTGAGATTGGAGGTCAGGAGGACAACGCAATGATGACAACGAGAAATGGTGAGACCCTCAATAAAGGCAGTGGCCATAGAAATGGAGAGGAGGGGGTGGGCTTTGGGGACAGCTAATGACAGTCGTGACTGAGGAAACATGTAGCTGATTGCACGAAGGGGCAAAGGAGGTGGAGGGTACCTCACAGAATGTGACCTGATTTCCCTCTTCTGTGGCAATGTCATTGGCTAAATAAGGGAGACAAAGAAGGGGCTTTTAATTTCTGTGTGTGTTTTTGGCAAAGAGGGGAACGGTAAGGTGAGTTTGGACCTAGACGAGGTTTAGTTGACTGACCGACCCTGCGTGAGCTTTCTAGCCGGGTTTGCGTGAGTGCCTCAGTTTCCCCTCTTTGCTGTTTGACATCGTGTGCCCTCCCGGAGCCCTGTGAGATGGGGAAGGATGAAGGGGAAGGGACAGCTGGCTGGGGCCGATTCCGTACCCCGTATTGGGCTGCACGTAGATGCCCCCGCCAGCCCCGCAGCACATGCAGTCCCTGCTGCCGAAGGGGCATTCGCAGCCCGCGGGCAGCAGCAGCGTCTCCCGTGCAGACCTCTCAAGGGCGGCCCTCGTTCCTCCCCAGGCTTCCGTCTGCACTGCAGGCTTCCACGCCTGGTGCCCGAGAGCTGCTTGCTCATCCTCGTGGGCGCGCTGGTGGGCGCCGTCATCTTCGGCACCGACCACACGTCGCCTCTGGTCATGGACACGAGCATCTACTTCCTGTACCTGCTCCCGCCCCTCGTGCTGGAGGGAGGCTACTTCATGCCCACTCGGCCCTTCTTCGAGAACATTGGCTGCATCCTGTGGTGGGCAGGGCTGGGGGCCCTGATCAGCGCCGTGGGCATCGGCCTCTAGCTCTACACCGTCTGCCAGGTCGCAGCCTTCGGGCTGCGCGACGTGACCCTGCTGCAGAGCCTGGTGTTCGGCAGCCTGATGTCGGCCGTGGACCTGGTGGCCGTGCTGGCCGTGTTCGAGGAGGCGCGCGTGGACGAGCAGCTGCACGTGACGATCTTCGGGCAGTTCCTGCTCAATGACGGCGTCAGTGTGGTGAGCCAGCGGCCGCGGGACACGGGGGCCCGAGTCTTACTCGGCTGCTGCAGCGCAGGGGTGGGCTTCAGCCGTGCTTGTGGCCCCAGGGCCGGCAGCTTTCCTGAGGATCTGCGCAGTGTACACAGCTGCTCAGTGACGCTGCTTCCGCTCATGAGCCTCTTCACAGAGTGGAAAGGGCTGTACAATTCTTTATTTACATCTGATTCCTCACTTAACAAGCAGAAACCGTTGCGAATGGCCCCTTTGGGCGTTCACACTAGCAAAAGCAGAAGCTTGGGTTTTTATCACCCCCACTCCCGTTATCATTTTTTTTTTTAAACATGCTGCAATAGATGAAGTTAAATAAAAGGAAGGGGTCAGGGAAGAGATGACAGGATTTGCAAAAATGGGTTAGCCTATATATCACTCGAATGCATGACTCCTGTTGAAAATATGAGCCAGGCGCTTCTGGGCACAAGCTGAAAAGGACTGGTAGGCTGGGTAACCATGTAGCATGAAGGCTCAGGAGCTGTCTGTAGGCTGGC